AGTCATCATCTTAATGGCTCGCTGGCGTCACCTCTCAACCACTACTTCTGGCAAAAATGCCATGCGTCATCCCAACTCGGCTGTGGCCCTCAACAGTACTCCTGTCCAGTTTTGGATTAAACTGCTAACTAGTTGTTTGAACAAACAGGTGTTTCTAGTTACTGTGCCAGTGTGTTCTTGCAGTTTTTTTCTTGTTTTTRTAAGGAGTATGGTGAAGGAAATTGGGGTCGGTGGGTGTTGTGTAAGCAAGCGTGTGTCAGATTGGTTTCTTCCTGGTCTTCTGTCTATCTTGTGCAGTGCCGCAGTGTGGCTGGGCACAAATCACGAGCCACTCAAGCAGTAACAAACTTTATTTCTGAACTCACGCGAATGCCACCCATGCGGCCCTTCCAGGAACACACACACTAACCGGAACTCCCTCCACCAGAACCTCACCAACCAACTCCCCAGGAATCCCCGTGAGAACACCTAGCTGGACAGCAGGGGTCTATATACAATTGAATACACAGCCTGTTTCAATCCACCATAATGGCTCGCCTCTCAACCATTACTTCTGGCCATTCTGACTAGGCTGTGGCTCTCAACAGTGCAGCTCACCTCACACTCTGCAGGCCAGTCCCTTCCTCTGCTCACTTTTAGGGCAATGAATGAGAAACTGTTGCTCTAAGTGCCTTTGGTGAGCAAAGATGTCCTGTTGCCAGGCACACAGAGGCGAGGCCCTGAGCGTCTCATGGGGCTCAAGTGACTGCTGGGCCTCCACTAATGTTTTGAGCGTCAGAGAATTTTTGTAATTAACTTAGAGCTTACTTATTTACTCAGAAATGTTTTGTTTGAATCAGAAATGTTGTCAGTGCCTCACCAGGACCCTGAATGTCCTTGCCCCACTACTATATCCCCAAATAGCAAATGACTGAGTAGGCGCCAGCCCAATGACTCTCCCCTTCTTCCTGTGKTGCATAGGATGTTGTCTTTGCACATTAAGAACAAAATGAGAAACCAGTTGGGAACTAGTTTAGCTGGTGAAGCAGATGGTCTACAGCAGATCCTTACTGTGGGGACATATTCCAAGACCCCAGTGAATGCTGAGACCCTGGGTAGCACCGAGCTGTAGCTGTAGTGTGTCTTTTCCTTTGTCCATATGTCTGTGATGAGGATTGATTTATAAATCAGGTGTAATAAGATGTTAACAAGAGCAACTAGTGTTTTAGTTAGCTTTTCATTTCTGTGATCATAAGACCCAACAAGAACAACCTGGAGGGCTGGGGATGTGGCTCAAGTGGTAGCACGCTCACCTGGCATGCGTGCGGCTCGGGTTCGATCCTCAGCACCACGTACAAAGAAAGATGTTGTGTCCGCCGAAAACCAAAAAATAAAAAATATTAAAAAGTTCTCTCTCTAAAAAAAAAAAAAAAAAAAAAGAACAACCTGGAGAAGGACAAATTTTTTTTGGCTTATGATTTCAGAGATCTCAGTCCTCGGTCAGCTAGCTCCATTGCTCTGGGCCAGAGATGAGGCAGAACATCACGGCCAGAAGGGTGTGGTGGAGGAAAACTGCTCAGCTTGGAAGGGTGGGGAAGAAGCTAGGGACCAGATGATTCCCAAGGGCAGGTCCTCAGTGACCTACTTTCCCAGCCACACCCCACTTGCTTACAGTTACCATCAGTAACCCATTCAAATTATTAATCCATCAAATGGTGAGGTTACAGCTCTTGTAATCTAATCATTTCACCTAGTTCCAAGTGGCTTCTCATAACATAATAAAATAGAACACTTAGAGTAGTTTATTACAATAAAAGTTACAGGCGTGATGCGCCCCCCCCTCAATTTTTAAAATTTTAATCTTTCACTTAAAGGAAGCATCTCATTTCTTCTCTTTGGTACATCTGAATTGCCAGCATCTCTCCCRTTGTGTTCTGAGGCTGCTGTTAGTAAAACAAGGGTTCCTTGAACACAARCACAGCAGTGCTGAGACAGTTGATCTGATGCCCAGAACAGCTACTAAATGACTAATGGGTGGGTAACATATACCAGGTGGATAACATCCTGATTCACAGGATGGAGATTTCATCATGSTGCTCAGAATAGTCAGCAGTGCATAACTCATGATCAATTTCTGGAATTTTCCATATACTATATCTGACTGCAATTGACCTCGGTTAATGGAAACTGCAGATAATGGGATCGCTTGTGTTTTGAATATTTGAGAACCTGAGCCATGACGGTGGTTTTCTCTGTGGAGGCCTGTGAGGACYGTGAGTAAAGCCAGCACTTTCTCAGGAAGCAGCTTGGCACCTGCTCCAGGGCTTGGCTCGGTGCCTCGCTGGGACCTGGTGGTTCCATGTTATGGTGGGTAGGAGGCACTCCCATGGCTTGAGACTGGCAGGCAGGCGGGTGCTAGCGGTCGTCCACTGTGACTGCAGCAAGATTGGGAAAAATTTCCGTGAAATTTCCATTTTAGGTATTTAGGTAGCTTATCCTCAAAGTTTGAGTTTACTGTAAAATAAGTGATCAGCTCCATGGAGTTATTGACACTAATCACTTAAGTATTGGAAGACAACTAAGAAATGTAGTCACTGTTATTTTCTCTGAATTTCAGCCCCTTCTGGCAGTGGGCCAAGGRACCACTTATCTCTTCATAGTGAGAAGACCCTGGTTTGGTTCTGTGGGAAGATGATGTTCTCATGTCTTCCCGGCAGTGCGGCAGCTCCTGTGCAAAGGGAGTGCTGGGAGAGGAAGGACAAAGGTGCTTCCTTTTCCCACAGAACTTCAGTATCCTGCTGGACTGTGGAAGCATACCTGAATGTGACCAAGGGCATCCTTGTTCTTAGCAGCCCAGTGTTGTTACAATCAAGGGCAACGATCTCCCTGCCATCCTATTGTAATTTTTAGTAGCATTGTTCTAGAAATTCTGAACAACACGGTGAGACCTAAAACAGAATGACGAATGACTTGTTGGCATGAAGCAGAGCCCTCACTATTCACTTCCAAACCTAAAGAGAACTGCTGCAGAACAGACGAGTGATTAAGCATTTMGCCAGGTGCATAGAGGCCATCCCTGTGTCAACAGGAAGTGGTTTCAGAGAAGTACATACCTGTTCCTGGGTCTGGTGAAACGTCAGGGGATAATCTTAGCATGTGCAGGACTTCTTGGTGAGGGAAACTAAAAACATTGCTGAAAAAGTTAAAAGGAGACATAAATGGGGAAACATGCTGTGTCTTCTTCAGGAGAATATTATGAAGATTTCACTTCTTACCAAATTGATTTAAATACTTAGTGCTATTTTAATCACAACCTCAGTGTGATTAAAAATCAAATAATTGATTAATTAGGAAGAAAGGATGAAGATAAAATGGGCTAAGTAATATTTTAAATATATTTTAAGGAAGAAAAACTGACCCTTGCAAGTTATTAAGAAATTTGAAGCTAAATTGTTTAAACCAGCAGCTCAAGCTAGAAGAACTGGCTGGTGGGGCAGGAGATGTGGGGTGTGGGGTTAGTGGGTAAATTCGGTTGCCCAGTATAGACTTTGGTTTGTGTAAGAATTAATGTACACTGAAGGCCCACAAACTGAGTTGGGGGGAGAGTGCTTAGGGGAATTGGCACAATTGGCCAGAGTTTTGAAAGATAGTTAATCCTCATTGTATCATGTATCAGTATAACACCGGGAGGAAATAATAATCCAATGTAAAACACTAGCTGTGTGTGTGGCTTAGTGGCTACACAGGCATATGCGTATGAGGCCCTTGGTTCCATCCTTAGCACAGAAAAATAAACAAAACACTAGGACAAAGACCCGTGTGCCTGACCTGTGCCAGATTTGTGCTTAGGCACATTGGTGGGAGTCCGCCATGAKCCTGGGACCATGGAGCATAGGTGGGTTTGGCACTGGGGGAAGGCACTGTTGGAGGGGGCTTAAGGAGGCTGAGACCCCAGGAGAGATGGGGCCAGGTGAGGCAGGGGACGGGGGAGCCCAGCAGAGACGGCTGAATGGCCTGGAGGACATGGAGGGACCAAAGGCACCGCTACCCTGGATGGAGAGCTGAGCTGTAGCAGCAGGACATGCAGCTCCCAAGTAGCTCCAGGACAGCTTTAAACAGGTGGAGGGACCATGTAAGCCTGACTCCACTGCACTGTGTCAAGGGATGGGCGCCTGTGTGTATGCGTGCACACTTACACATGCATATGAGTTGGTAGTGTATTGGAAAGAAGTGAGACATTCAGGTGGTAGGCTGAGTGTGAGGTGCTGGTGACTGGAGGAGGAAGGGCTGGTGCCCGGCCCATAGCCCTTCCCTGGGCACTGTGAGTGGTACCTCCAGCCCTTTATCTCTGGTATTTTTATCTCTTTGATTTACTGATGTATTCCCTAGCCCCTGTAAATAGTGACTGACCCCTGGTAGGTGCTCATTATGTATTGACTAAGTGAGCAGGTGAAGGATGCCTTCCCGTTTTTTGGGCTTAAGCAGCTGGTGGGTGGGGCTGTTTCCTATTATTGGAGCACTGGAAAAGGAGCATGTATGGAGGAAGACACAGAAAGTGATGGCCTGGGTTGTCCCATGGAGGAAGGTGTAGCCTTCCCTTTCTGTGTCATGTGCATGTGAAAACTAATCAGAGAAAGTCAGGATAACAGTGAGAGAGTGGCCATATCAATGTGAATGGACAATTTACAAAAGGTGAGAGATACAGATAATGAAAACATACTTGAAGAAATATTCACCTTCACAATATGGAAGAGTGAAACTAAATCCACAGGATGGTTTTCCTCATGAAATGGTAAATAATTGTAAATAATAATTTGTGCAATTTTGCAAGGGATCTGGCAGAACACACCAAGTGCTTTAAGCTRTTATGTCTTTTGATCAGATCAGTTTCTGGAGATTCATGGTAAGGAARCTGAGAACAGCTGCTCCTGCCACAGTAGCTGGAGGCTTGGGCGCGGGGAGGGGTGAGTAGGCTAGGCAGCCCCCGAGTCCTTGTTGATGTGTTTCTGTTGTGCTTCCAGATGAAGACAGTCAGCGTGGCCTTAGTTCTGTGCCTGAATGTCGGTGTGGACCCTCCTGACGTGGTGAAGACCACGCCTTGTGCCCGCTTAGAGTGCTGGATTGGTAAGTTCCAGTCTTCCTTGTGCTGCTGGGTAAATCCCAGGATTTTCTTTCTTTTCAGAGTTATGTAATCTCTAAGTGATTTTAGATGCATTCACTTTTATTTTGTAGCAGAGAAAGTGTTTCAAGGAAAATTGATAAAATAATGATTATTTTCCCTTTAAATTTGCCCTGCATTTGTCACACAAAATAGCTACATACATTTTTAAAAAATTGAATGATGATACTGCTTGTATTTACAGAAAAAGCAAATTGAGCCATTTCCAGCAAAGAATCACATAAAACACTGTAGCTCACCATTGCTGGTATCTGCTGAGTGCTCATGGTGTGAACTGTTTTAATCTCCCCAACCCTGTGTGGTAGGTTCTATCACTGAGCTCCAGTTCAGAGATGAGGAAGAGGATACATAGAGATGARAGCTTGTTCAAAGTTGTCCTGTGTGTAAGTGGCAGAGCTGGGATTGGAACCCATACAAAGTCTAGAGACGGTTCGTTTTTTGTTTTCTGTTGTGGTATAAAGCATGCATACTGTGAAGCACTATCCCAGCCTTGTTGAAGTATGGGGTCCGTGGCACAGGCACATTCCACGGTTGGGCAGATGTGACCACCATCCACCTCCAGAACCTTTTCACCACCCCGAGCCAAAAGTGTTCCCATTACATAGTTCCCCAGCACCTCCCAACCCCAGTTTCACTCTGGCTGTATAGTTGGACCACTCTAGGGACTTCAGATCAGTGTCATCATATGATATTTGCCTCTGCTTCTTCTTCTTCTTTTTTTGCTGTGTGTCCAGGGCCTTCCGCATGCAGGCAAATGCTCTTTTCCTCTGAGCTACATCCCCAGCCTGCTTACCTCACTTGGCATAGGGTCTTCAGGTTCATTCATGCCRTATCAGGTAACAGAATCTTCTTCCTAAGGCTGAATGATACTCTGTTGGTGTTTGTTGTGCCACATTTTGTTTATGTATTTATTCATCAATAGACTTTTTTTTTTAATCTTTTTTAGTTGTAGATAGACACAGCATCCTTATTTATTTATTCTTGTGTGGTGCTGTGGTGCTGAGGATCAAACCCAGTGCCTCACATGTTCTAGGCGAGTGCTCTACCACTGAGCTACAGCTCCAGCCCCATCTGGTTTCTACCTTTTAGCTTTCCTCACAGTAGTGTTTAGCTATTGTGAATAACGCTGCTGTGAACATGGTGTACAGGTATCTGCTTTCAATTCTGTTGAGTTAGTCCCAGAAGTACGGTTGCTGCATCACATGGTGATTCTGTGCTTACTTTTTGAGGAGCTGCCATGCTGTTTTCCTTAGAAGCGGCGCCATTTCCATCACTTCCAGCAATGCTCAAGGGTCCCAGTTGCTCCACGTACTTACTGTTTTGTGTTTGTGATGTAGGCATCCTAGTGGGTGTGGGGTGGTATCTCATGGAGGTTTTGATTTGCATTTGAGTGAGTGGTGATGGTGAGTATCTTTTGATGGGCTTATTGGCCATTTAGGTACTCTCTGGAGAAATATCTATTCAGTCCTTAACCCATTTTTGAATTGGGTTTTGTTGTTTAGTTGTAGGAGGTTTTTATTTTCTGGATATTAGTCCCTTGTGATTTGCACATATTTTCTTCCATCAGTGACAGTGTTTTTAACCATTACACAATGTATCCACTTTCCCCCACTTTAGTATCAGGTTTATTTGGAAACCATTTATATATAGTAAAATTCACCTTTTTGAATGTAATATATTTCTCTGAGCTTTAACAAAAACATACAATTGTGTGACAAATACTATGGTCAATGGATAGAATATTTTCATCATACCGAGAGAATTCCCTTGTGCCCTCTTTCCTTAGCTCTGGCAGCCAGCCCTGGTCTTTGTGCCTGCCTTGCCCTTCGTCAGAATGCTGCTTCAGGGACCATGCAGTTTGCCCTTTTGAGCCTCGCTCCCTTCGCACCGCAGAGTGTGTGGCAGAGCAGCCATGCTGCTGCGCTGGGAGTGTGACATAGCCTGTCCTGTTTGTCCCACTTGTATGGAGATGCCACACTTTGTTGACCTGTCCATCCGTTGATGGAGCTTTGAGTTGTTTCCAGTTCTTGGCAGTTATGAATAAAGTTTCTGAAAGTACTTAATCTTTGTATGGACTTTTTTTGGGGCAGATATTTAAGATGGGATTATCAGGTCACATGTTAAATTGTGTTCAGTTCCTTGAGAAACCGTCCAGCTGTTTTGTACTGTACCATTTTGCATTTCTGGTGCTGCATGTGTATGATTGCTCCACRTCCTCACTAGCACTCAGGAGGGTTTTGAAGAGTGAGACTGAAGATGTCTTTCCTGTTCCTGCTCCCATTTCCCATGTGGGGGCTGTGCGTCCCTCGCCAAGGTCAGGTTTCCCTCTGGTGTCCCAGTCATTCTGCGGGAAGAGCTTCCTTTATCATTGCTTGCAGTGTGGTCTGAAGGAATTAAATTTGACCAGATTTTTGTTTGAAAATTCTTTATTGTCAAAAGCTATTTTTTCTGCTTATAGTTTTGTGTTGAGATTTTTCTTTCAGTATTTGGAAGTAGCCACTCATCTTCTGGTGGCGTGGTTTTGGATGAGAAGTGTGCTATAATTCTGGTCTTGGTGGCTGGCTTCTGGTTAGGTTTCCCATCCTCTGCCTCCAGCAGTCTTCGGGATTTACTTTTTACCTTTAGATTTTGGGTAGACTGTCAGTGACATATCTGCTTTTGTGCTTGTTTGGTTTTTGGAATTTGTTCTTCTTGGGGTTCTTTGAGCTTTTTGGATGTGTAGCTTGATTTSTTTATTTTTGCAATAAACTCCAGTCATTATCTTTAAAAACTTTTTGGTACTGGAGATTAAGCCCACTGCTTTTACCTGTCCTGCAGTAGTCAGCCTGTCTGGTATCAGTGCAGAATTCTGTGCCCAAGGTGTTTTCTGCCTCTGCCCCAAGTGGACCTTTTTCTCAGTTGTCTTTGTCTGAATTTTGGGAGTTCTCTATCCCACCCCAAGTAAGACAGGCCTCGTCTCCACTCCTTCCCCAGTGCCGAGGGCCTGAGCCTGTGCTTTGTGGATAGGTTCTCCTGCTTCTGGCCTCAGGGATTCAGGCTAGGGGGACTTTACTCTGCCTGCCCCCATTGCTTTCACAAGCCACTGGAGTGGCCGGTGGGGATGGGAGCTCCCCTTGTTCTGGGACCCCTACCTATTCCAAACTGCCATGCTGGCCCCCTAGCTGGGCTGTGTGTATATGGTTCCATTTTGGCTGGTTTCTCCCAGGTAGAAATAATGCATGAGTCCTGTCTCTCTGGGAGGATGATAGTCTCATGGAATTCAGTTGATTTCGCTGTGGTCTCAGCTCCCTGGTGAGCACAAGACAAGTTTGATATTGATTATGCAGGTTTCTCTGCATCTTAGGATTGGGGCAAACTCATCCTCACCCAGCTATCTATCTATCTATCTATCTATTTATTTATTTATCTATTTATTTATTTATTTATTAGAGAGAGAGAGAGAGAGAGAGAGAGAGAGAATTTTTTAATATTTATTTTTTGGTTTTCGGCAGACACAACATCTTTGTTTGTATGTGGTGCTGAGGATCGAACCTGGGCCGCGCGCATGCCAGGCCAGCGAGCTACCACTTGAGCCACAACCCCAGCCCACCCAGCTTTTTATATCCTCAGCTAAAGAAGTTCATTACTTTAATGAAAATTATATGTAATCCAAGTTGGAAAATTTTTTTTTCCTTCTTTATTTGCATGTCTCCTTACCTCAGTGTGTCTTGGATGGCAGTCACTAGCCTTTGCCCTGTTGCCCTGCACCCACCGACAGAGTAGCCGTCTTCCTCAGCTACTGCTGTCCCTTGCAGATTGTGCTGCTCCATGTCGACTTCTTACTCACCACCCCAGCTATTTCCACTCCATGAATCCTTTGTCCCAGCTGAATTTATTCAGTCCATTTTTGTTGTGTCCCTCTTCAACTTCTCTTATGTTAGCGTTGCTCACCTGGGTTGCTATGTGCCTTGCAGAGGACGTATGGCCCCACTGGGATGCATAGGTGGGGGGTGTCTGAGGACAGAATCACATTTCTTGGGCCAAAGGACTTTCTTTGGTTTTTATTAGATACTTTAGAGTTCTTTCATATGTACTCTCCCCAAAATCCAGAGAGCCCTCTTCCATAATCTCTTTGATCAAGATTTACTGGATGTTAATGAAAAGGAAAGAATTCCTTTCCTTTAGTGCAAAAATTCAGCAAATGAATATATATTTAAATATTGTGTTTATTTTTTTTCCCTACAATTTAGGAATATAGTCTACTTTGTAATAATTTCAAAGGAGTGGGTTTTTTGTTTTTTTTTTTTTTGGTACTGGGGATTGAACTCAGGGTCACACAACCACTGAGCCACATTCCCATCCCTATTTTGTATTTTATTTAGAGACAGGGTCTCACTGAGTTGCTTAGGGCCTTGCTTTTGCTGAGGCTGGCTTTGAACTCACTATCCTCCTGTCTTAGCCTCCCSAGTCGCTGGGATTATAGGTGTGTGCCACTACACTGGGCTCAAAGGAGTTTTGAGTTCAGAATGGCATGTGCTTTTTCTAGGCTGAAATTTTTTCATTTGTCCTTTATTAAAAAGTGGGTAGACCTGGTCCTGGTGATGACGATTTTAACAATGTGGTATGAGAAATAAAGAACCCTAAAGATTCGCTTCAGCACATTTGCAGTGGTGTCTGGCACTATGCATTTTATTTTGAAAGCAAGTTTCAAAAGTTGCAAATAGAGTAGTGAGCAGTTTCCCTGGTTCATTGGAATAAGTTGCTGTCCTATCACCTCTGATTCTTTTTTGGTGCTAAGGATTGAACCCAGGGTACTTTACCACTGAGTAAATCCCAAACCTTTTTTTAAAAATTTGTATTTTGAGACAGGATTTCACTAAGTTGTTTAGGGAGGGCCTCACTGAGTTGCTGAGGCTGGCTTGAACTTGTGATCCTCCTTCCTCAGCCTCCCAAGTTGCTGGGATTA